TCAGCTTTAAGTTGAGAATGAAGGGAAGTCCTCGGTGCTTGCACTGCTTTCATACCGATATAATTTTTCCTTTCAAACTTACAGTGATTTCTCCCTTATTATAAATGAATACAGTGTGACATGTATGTAATTTTCTGAGTTTATTTTATAATAAAATGTTTCTCAGAGGTTTCATGTGCTTCTCTGCCCTCTTAAACAAAAACACGATTTAATCTCTTGAGGGTCATTTCCCTGGATATTCATTGGCACGTTGCATTCTACTGTTTTCATGCCCTCAAGAGCACTTGAGGTTGTAGTTACTTGTGTCCAAGCAAAGTCACCCCAGTCTGTGATATTTTTCAAGTTACTTGGTCTGTTTTCTCTCTCTCTCCAAGCAGTATTTTCCCTTCCCATTTGCTGCCTCTAATCTTCTATAGACTAGGAAATAGGAGAGTTGGGTTTGGTAGAATTGGGTCTAAAATGAAAGTAAATTGGCTTTGAATGAGGGACTGAGAAGGTCTCCTATAAGCCAAGAACCCAGGTTGTAATTTACATTCTTTGATACACACCTTTTAACGACTCCATGGCTTTGCCTTCTTTCTTCTTCAGTTGTGGCTCTCTTCTAGATGGGGTGAGGTGTATAATATAAGTGACTCCTGGGCAAGCATTCCTGCACACTGAAATAAAAACACTTTACAGTTCTGATACAGGAAGTTCTTAGAGATTTGCACAGAGTAGGTGTCAGTACCTGCTTGTTGAATAAATTGCTCCAGCAGCTATTCAGGCAGCCAGACATTTTAGAAAATGATGGGTTTAAAGATGCTTTGAAACACAAATGTACTCCTGTTAGAAAGATACAGATTTATAAGCAAGGCTTCCTGGAAAACCTCAAAGTTCTCCCTGACCCAGAAAATGTAATAAAATCAACCTTTCTTTTCCTTCTCCCAGAATGCTTCACTTGGAGAATGTCACAGCCAGCAAGAAACTGTTGTCATTTTCCACTTACCACCCTAAGTGCAAATGGGTCTCTGATTGCCTAAAGGTGAGAACAGAATATGCTCATTTGCATCTATATATTTTTTTAAGTAATTTAGGACTCTGCACCCTGAAGTACATGCCAGTGAAGTAGCCCCACACAATTCATAAGAAGTGATAAAGAACTTGGCAAAGACCACAATCATTTGTCCATTTCTAGCTCTAACACTTTTATCCTCTTTGGTCTTTAGAGTGACATGGTATGTCTTTTGTTAGTCCAGTGTTTAAGGTCAGAAATAGAGAAATTACAAAAATAAACTAATAAATTATTCTTTAGAAGTTGGTTGTTCCCTAGGAAGTACAACATAGTTCATTGGTCAAGATCATGAATTTGGGTATAGGATGGCCCTGGGTTTGAATCCAGGCTATACCACTGCCTACTTGTGACACCAAGTTGCTTAACTTCTCTGAACTTGAGTTTCTCATCCAAAATATGGGTGTTTCTGTTGCCAATTACTGCATAACAAACCCACCCAAAGCACAGTTTAAAACAACAGCAATTGTATTTCTTTTCAAGATTATGTTATTTGGACAGGGCTCAGCATGGACGGCTCATCCCTGCCTACCATGATACTGTGAAAATGTGAAAATATTAGTCACTCAGTCATGTATGACTCTTGGCAACCACATGGACAGAAGAGCCTAGCCCACTAGGAATTCTGTAAGCAAGAATACTGGAGTGGGTAGACATTTCCAGGGGATCTTCCCAATGCAAGGATCAAATTCAGGTCTCTTGCATTGCAGGTGGATAGGTACTAGGGCTAACCTTACTGTGCAGACAGACTGCTGAGTCACAGAGTAGCAAAGTAACCAGCCTAAAGCTACATACCTAGTAAGCAGTGGAGCTAAGAACATATGAATCTGACAGCTTGGCTGACCCCAGAACCCTGTTACACCAATTTAAAACCCCCTCCAACTCAAAAATTGTATGTTGCTTCTACCTACAAAATACATAAAGTAGTTGAAAGAAGTTGGTTTCTTGTTACAAAATACAAAATTGAGAAATGGAGCCTCCTGGGAATATTTGTTGGAAATGTGGTCAGAATAATTCAGAACCTAACTCTCTGCCTTTGGGCTAATACTCTAATCTTTAGCTAAAAAGGGGAAGAAATATCTGGATATAAGGCTGTATTTTTCACCTTGGATATTCAGCACCAGCTCTCAATTCAATTGCTTCTCCAGTGCCCTGACTGCCTGCATGCAAGCCAAGTCATTTCGGTTGTGTCCGACTCTTTGAGATCCCATGGACTGTACCCACTAGGCTCTCTGTCCATAGGATTCTCCAGACAAGAATACTGGAGTGGGTTGCCATGCCCTCCTCCAGGGGATCTTCCTGACTCAGGGATCAAACCCACATCTTCTATGGCTCCTGCTTTTCAGGTGGATTATTTACCACTGAGCAACCACGGAAGCCCAGTGCCCTGACTACTTTCTGTGAGATGAGGATAATGACAATTAGATGATACTGAAACTTTGATAGGTGTTCTTGTTTTTAATTAGTCATTATTATCAGGTACTCTGATTTCCTGTTACAGAAACTTAATTTCTGGTGGCATCATCTCCTCTGGTGCAGTTCTTTTTAAAATTATGTCTCAGACATTGTTATGCTATCCCTAAGTCACTCATAACCTAAGAAGATCTCAGATTTTTCTGCCAGCTTGCTTTTCCCTCCTACTTCTTTCTGAAATAAAAAAATGAAGATGGGAAAAGGAAGCAATGTGTAGTACCTCTGATCCTGCTTTCTGTTGCAGTGACAAGGTGGAGGCAGGAAATATGAAAAGCACCTCCAAGGCCCAGATTATGATGGAATTAATTTAAATGCCATTGTTTCATCAATTCCAGAGAGCACATTCATCTTGTTTAGGTTCTGGGCAGTCTGGATGGTGGTGGGAGTGCAGTTTTAAGTCAGGAGACAAGGATTGTAGCACAGATGCCCCCACTAACTAGTTGCCTAATCCTTAACAAGTCACTTTGTCTTCCCAGGCTCATTTTTTCTCATCTGTCAAGTTAGATGAAAGTTATGGAATAGATGATCTCTAAAAATTCTTCCAGCTCTACAGTTCTATTCTGGGTCTGTCTGCACCTGCAGACAGTGATGTGGGGGCAGGAAGGGTACTGAAGAGGGAGGAACATTTAGTCAAGAGAATAAAACACTTTTTACCTGGGGCAGCCCTGCATCCTCCTGTGTTGTGTAGACAGGCTTGTCTCAGATTAACCAAATAATTGACTGGATTCTCTCCTTCCGTTGCCAATGGACACACAGCTTTAGTTTTTCTGGGAGCAGCAGCTGCTTTTCTGAAATTTCCATCCCAGGGCTTCCGTCTCCCTGTGTTCTCTCAGAAACTTGTCATGGTTTTTCTGGATGGATGCCCATAGAATTTTAATCCAGTCACAAAAAAGTGCTATACATAACAAAAAGCAAAAACAGGTTATGGGTTGACTGTTTCTTTATTGAATTTGTGGTGTTTTTTTTTTTTTCAAGGACTTGGAACATAGCAGGGCATCATTCACAGCACCATCTGAACTGCCAGCTCAGAGCCATGGCTAGGGCCAGTAGTTAAGGGTTTGTCCTTGAAGCAGTGGAGAGAAGCTCTATATGATTTAGTAGCAACCCTGGACTCTTGGTAACTGGCTGCTTAAGTTAAATTGGTTCTTTCCCCATAATATCCCATTTTCTTCCCTTTCCCAATAAGTATTGCATTTCCAATAAGGGGGAGGGGGAAAACCCTGTCCCCAAGAAGCTTAGCAGAGTCTCCCAACTTAAGCTAACTTTAAAAGGTGTAGTTCTCCAACTTTAACTTGTGGAAAGTTTCCCTGGGGAGGCAACTATAAATGTACATTCTAGGACCCTGCTCTCATATGTTCACTCAGTAGGTTTTGAGCCAATAAAACTACATTTCACTCAATCCAGGGAAGCTTGATGTAGGAGGGTGATGGACTACTATGAAATGTTCATGGTTAGAAACAAACAACATTATCAGAAACAAGAATTTCATGTTTGCATTTGTATTTCATGCAATCAGTATAAAATTCATGAAAATTGATGCCTAATACTCAGGATTCCAGGCATTAACATGAAGGTCCTTGCACTGTACCTCACCACCACTGGCAGATTCTGAAAACTCAAAGCAGGCATATTATTATCTCCCTGATGGGAAGGTTAAAAAAGTTAAATGAATTTATACACCTGGTCAGTAAGTGACTGCTCAATAAATAGCTGCCACTTTTAGCCCCTAGAAGAAGAAGAAGGGGAAGACTGTCTGAGGCCCAACTTCACACTGGGACTTGGCTACAGTTGGGTGTATTCTTTGGTGCCCGGGAAATGCGGCCATGGACCTCCGGGACCACCACCCCGGGACACCCACCGTGGTGCCCTTACTACGGGCAGGGCAGTAGTTCTGTTCCTTTGCCAGTTCAACCTCCAAGACCTAAAATAAGAGGGGTGGTATGTGTGTTAGTTGCTCAGTCGCGTCAGACTCTTTGGATCCCACGGACTCTAGCCCGCCGGGCTCCTCGGTCCATGGAATTCTCCAGGCAAGACCACTGGAGTGGGTAGTCATTCCCTTCTCCGGTGGGTTTTCCCAACCCAGGGATCAAACCCGGGTCTCCCGCATTGCAGGTAGATTCTTTACCATTTGAGCCACCCACCGGGCAAGTTAAGATGTGGTGGGTGGGGCATTTTTATTTTTAAATATTTCCCTCTGGGCCTTTGACAAGTTTTTGCGGGCTTTGGAGGTGGCTGTGGCCGGGGAGGGTCCCTGCGATCTTGACTCTCCGCTGCCCGCAGGTCTCCGGAGGGAAGAAGGCCCCGAATCCTCCGGAGCAAGGGACCAGGAGTGGTCGGGGTGGGGGACCATGGCCACAGCCAGGAGCCGGAGGGTTCGAGGCCCTCCCAACCCCGCCAGGTGGCGGGGAAGGGCGGGGCGGGGGGCGCAGGGATTTGGGACCACACTATTTCCCAGCCCGCAGAGGCCCCAAGAACTGACTGGTTGAGCTCTGCGGGGAAACATGGGCCCCATCCACCGCCCGAATCCTCATCAGGAGGACGCAGATCCCGGAACCGCCAAGTCCCGGCCGCGGCGCCCCGCGTCGGCTCGGCCCGCGAGGGAGCGAAGCCCTTTGGGGGCCTCGGAGCGTCAACCCAGGGGTTTACTGAGAGCTGCCTCAGGTCCCCGGAGGGTTGGCTGGATTTTCGCCTCAAGCCTGCTTAACATATTCAGGACGGGGCCGCCGCTAGGACCCTTCTTCCCCCCTCTCACGCCCACCCGCCCCTACCAGCCC